GGATCAGCTACAGTGCTGCTATCAGTGCCTGTGAGAGGGGTGGGCAATGGCAGCAAGCATTGAAGTTGTTCCAGGCCATGCCTATAGTGAAAGTCCAGCCAGACAGGATCAGCTACAATGCTGCCATCGGTGCATGTAAGAAGGGCGAGCAATGGCAGCAAACATTGAACTTGTTTGAAGCCATGCCTACAGCGAAAGTTCAGCCCGACGTGATCAGCTACAGTGTTGCCATCAGTGCTGCAATGGCAGCAAGCATTGAAGTTGTTTGAAGCCATGTCCGAGACAGATGTGCTACCAGACCTGGTAAGTTACAATGCTTATTACTTGATGTTTATGAAATTCAGAACAGTGCCAGCCATGTTGAGAGGTGGAACTTACCAGAATGAAAGGGATGCGGCGCTTCAAAGATCCACCTTCATGCCCTCTCGGAGGGAACTGCCCGTGTTGCGGTGTCACTGGCTCTCCGCTGCAGTGGCCACAAAGCTGGAGCAGGACAAGAGTTGACGTGCCTGATCGTCGGGTATGGGAAGTCTGGGGACACCGTGCGCGAACCCGGCGAGCTTGGATCTCTTGCAAGGCAATCTCGGACTTCAAGCGGTGTTGCCCAAGAACCCTTGGGGGAGGCAGACTTGCCAGCCCTGCGTCGTGCTAGAGCCAGCTTTTATATGTTCTCTTGTTCAACAGGCATGTGCTCTATCACTAGGAGTACCGGAATCAGAAGTAGCCCACCTACTTTGACAGACTTCAAGTCAAGAGTCAAAAGTTGAATCCAGTTTCAGGCAACTTATAACATCTTATAGCAAACAAAACTCTGAACATCCAATCTGGAGTGTTGCTTAAGCTCTGGGAAGGCACAAAAGGCAGCGCATCTCATGAACTTCAATGCAGCAAAGACGTGACGTCTTCGTCGTCCAGTTGACGTCGGGAGCCGACGAGCCGCTTTCTCTTTTGAGGTGCCTTCGACATGGCCTTTGTGAGCCATGATGTCCCAACGCTTCTTTTTTAACATATGTTTACCTCCTGAGTTGGGTCGCACGTTTTGCCTTTTTCTTAATGGAACGCTGGTCGCACGTTTTTCAATGGTGACTGTTTCCTTCAGAAAGAGTTCCGTTTCTCCAAGCGAAACAGGAGGAGTACTGAATTTATTTGTCGTGTCAAATAAATATAGCTATTACACTCTTGGTATAACAATGCCAGTCTAGTGAAAGTCCATTCACGATTTAGGGCCCGTAAGGTTTCCTTTTTAGAACAATGCCTGCTTGTTTGAACCACGCCAGGATACGTGTGTTCTTCCACCTCGGTATTGCAATATTTGGGATGGTCTTCCGCAGTCTTCTGGGGGATCTTAGAAGATAAGTATGCAGAAAGGGTGTTGAATCCTTGAAGTTGAACCATGCTTCCACATGACCTGGTGATACCCTCGACCCCAAGAAGGCCACACGGAATCCAGAACATGCACCTGGGACTCTTTCAGCAAATCCCGCAACCAGTTCCACCCGAATCCATCCGCGGATGCGACCAGGCCGCCAGGGAGCGCCACACAGCAGCCACCGCGCTGAATGACCGGTCCAGTCGATCACATGCCGTGTTCCAGCGACTGGGATGCCATGAATGGACACATCCGGAAAGACTCGGACCAAGCGATGGCCTCCAGCCTAGTAGCTTCTTGTTACTAGTAGCGATGGCCTCCAAGCTACAATGGCCTCCACCAGCCGTGGTTGAACAGCCATATCGCTCAACCAGCCATTTCCAGATCGCACCAGTTGTCGCGCTAGATCGGGAATGGCCGATTTGAGCCGATTTGTGCCTCGGGGATGTCCTCGCCGCGCACCAGTTCCGTTGGAGTTCGGAGGAATCGTTCAGACGTCTTGAGCGTCACGGTGGAGAGGCCTCAGGATAGTCATGTCAAGGTTTTGGACTTGGAGGGCGCCTCGGGCCACTACGTTCAACTATAGATGACTTCTCAGTTTCAGCTAGATACTGCCCTGTGTGTTTCTTGAGGGTGGACTTGTTTGGTGGTTGCATTGAAAGAATGAAATACACACAAAGAGGAAGGTGAAGATGAAGAAGCAAGAACAAAGAAGATAATAGTACAGGGAGACCACAAGAAAGAGAAGCGGCTTGGGATCAACGTCAGATCACTAAACCAAATGAACATGCTTGTAAGCCTGGCAATGTGCACATTTACTTGTTTGCCCCAATCGCGGTGGCTGAAAACGGCGGCCAGGCCCCTGGCTTAAAACCACGCTGTCCTACTAAAGTTCATGATGTGGATTCGGGGCTTTGTTTGGACATGATCTGAACTTTGTTCGAAGGCCAACCCCATAAAAGCAACTCTCCAACATAGAAGCCTATGCAGGTTTGCATGGTTTTCAACCCAAACCATATGCGAGGGCTGTAGGTCCTCAAACTCAACCCCTAGAGTGGCGAGCCTCGCAAACCTCTACGAGAAACCAGGGCTCGCATTTTGAACATTTCATCAATCCGCACTGAGGCTTTCTCTGGAGGGTCATAGCCAGGCCGGAGTGACGGATGTTGCTTGGATATCTGTCGGGAAGCATCCAGATCCCAAAGGAAGGCCCACTGAAGAAGCTTCGAAAGTTGGAGATGTTTGCGTGGGTGGCTGCCACCCCGGCCCCAGAAGAGAGTGTGTATCAGTCGGAACTGGTGATCATGTTCCACTTGCAAGGATGCTCTCTCCCTCTCTCTCTCTCTCTCGCTCTCGCTCTCTCTCTTTTTCGCTTTCTTGAAGTCTTTTATCACAGCTCGACCAGGATACAGCATCTCCCTTTCTTAAATAGCATGATATTAAATTGGGTTTCTATCACTCTAGAAGAGAACGGATTTGCTAACGCAAGCATCATGGATCTCGCATGAGGATTTTTGTGCGCTTTTTGTCCTTTTTGATCTTGTTTGGATGCTGAAGAGTGCCTCCGGCAACTGCTCTCTAGTGACACCGGCGACTTGCCAAGCCAGTTCCACAAGATTCTGGGTCCAAATGCTCTCAACATTGCCAAGAAGTGCAGCCTATAGATTGTGGAGCACTCAATCACATATTCAGTCCTGATTGCCGGACTTACACGAAGCCAGACAGCGCATCATGACCTTCAGAAATCCACAGAACTGGCAGATGCTTAGCCCTTCTCCCACTCTCGACGTACTCAACCCGCAAACCCATCCAAACCCACCATTTCCAGCATTTTGAGCACCTCACCCACACCTCACCCGCTCACCCACACCTCTGTTTTGCCTCTTTCCAGCACCCCTTCACCTCCACCCCGCCAGGCTTCCCTTCCTTCGCGCTCGGGCCTGCTGTCGCTGGTGGACCTGGCGGGCTCTGAGCGGGTCATGCAGTCCCAGGTCACCGGCGAGCACCTCAAGGAGGCCACGGTCCCGACCGCCACGCGTGAGGGCGAGGCGTCGAAGGACGGCGTCGTTCGGGGGTCCAAAACCGCTCCGTCTCCCGTGGTAGGTTGACCTGGTCTATTCATGTCTCATGGGGTGGGCAACCAGGGTCGCATACGGTGTTTTTTTCGGTGTTTTTGGTGGTCTTCAGCAGCGCGAGTCTGCTGCGTTCGGTGTGTGCACATGTGATTCCTTTGGACGAGTCTGTGTTTGAGCGTGTGGGGGGGGGCCGGTGTTCTTTAGCGCTCGACCCGTGAACATCGCAAGGAGACGACATGTCGACGCGCTAGAGTTCTTGGTTGCATTGCCTAGTATCGATGAACCTTCCAGATCTTGGAATCGAACCACCTGGCATACAACGCACTCAAACGCACTCCGCATTTTAGAATTCCAGCTGATGCTGGAATCTTCATGAGGATAGCCTATGACCTCTCCCCTTCAATTCCAACCTACACAGACCGTCTGTCATCAACCTTTCCCGGAGACCTCGCGTATATACGCGCGGGTCGCTGGTCCCAAACCGCGGTAACCGGAGGCGCAATACATCAATCGCTCTCTCTCGGCCCCTCGGACGCGAAAGCGCCGGAGGAGGTTTCTGCGGTGGGAAAGCCCGAGTGTTCGGACGGTTCTACGGAGAAGAAAAGACCATTGCGATGCAGACAGTCAAAAGCCAACTCAGCCAAAGACCAGGATGGCCAAAAGATGCAACAACGTGTCTCTTTTGAATGTGTTTGACGTTTTCTTCCTGTGATGGCCATCACATGTGATAGCCCAGTGGTTGGTCGTTTAGCAGGTCATCAGAGCCTATAGACCCAACAGGGATCCGTTTGGTCCTGAGTACCAGCGAGCGCAGTGGTTGGTCGTTTGTGGGATTCCTATGTTTTGAGCCAATCTGTACTGGCGTGTGCAAAGTATAGGTCATCATTTCTAATTAACAGCGAGTTGGACTGGAGGCCTGGCACGTTTCATTGCGAATTGCCCTTGACATCAGCCTCGACAAAATAAAAGAGAAACCAATGCGCATTGCCATGTTTTGCCCATTTTGGACCTCTTGGACTGGGGCCGTGGGGCGAAGCTCCTCCCACGGTGTGAGGCCCTAGGTGACGTGATTGAAGCGCTGAAGCGGAAGAAGCCAGGAGGTGCATGCACCGTGGGCGGGCCCTGCGAGGCATACGAGCCACACGAACCTGTTAAGCGAGAGGAGAGAGAGAGAGGGAGAGACTGAAGATCGCCTCATTCGATGCATTTTGGCCCAGAGCCAGGCTTTGCGGGCTTGAGCAATGGAGATTGCAACACTCGCAGGTTCCCTTGTCACCCAGCTTGACAAGGCTTTTGAAGGTTGAACTAGATGACATGCACATGCATCTCGTGTAGGGACATGTTTTTTGCTTGAGACATTGTGCTTCATTTGGTTGGTTAGACTAGACGTGACTATTTACATCTATTTGCCCCCCACTGATTTGGGGATTATACGAAGATTGTTGGTTGTCGAAAGCTGTACTGCTACCTATCAACTTGTCAAGCTGATCTTATTTTTCCAGTCCATGGATACAGCCTGCTGCCCGTTCGCGCCTGGCTGCGCCTGGCAGACCCAACCCACCTCGCCCTGCGGATGACATGAGTGTTGTCGAAGGTTTGGCCCGTCCATGGAGGCGTCGGAGTTGGCATCCCAGGTGGCGGTGTCAATGGGTCGAATGGTGGCCGCTATGATCAAAGACTTTTGGGAACTCTTGGATCCATTTGCCACTGCCATCAACGATGCTGGACCGGAAAGAGGTGGAGCGATGCGCGATGCGTCATTCAGTCATTCCACGACAGAATAGCGACAGATCTATCGATATAGATGTTGTGGGGTGATTCGCATACAAAACGACAATTGGAATAGGGCATATATCCCTTGCAGAAGTCGCCTTGCTGCTTGGAATCCTGGTTTTCAGCGAAAAAGCAAAGCTGCCATGAGGCATGGATGAACAAAAAACTAGTCACGGTGTCGGTGCCAGGGATGGATTCGATCATGCCTCTAGAAGCCACCTTTTGATCGGACGAGGCAATGTGTTGAATGACGATTTGGTCACTCCAAAAGTGTCGGTCTCACCGAGGTTCTGGGTAAATACAGCAAACATTGATAACAACACAGCATAATGTTTTTTGCAAGTGAAGCCCCGTCAATTTTGATAGGATCTTGACCACCAACGAGAAGTTTAGAAAATATGTTCAACGAATTTCTTGAGAAGTTATATACCTTCTTGAAGACTTAGCGCTGCTGATTTTTTGAGCACTGCTGCCACAATGGTGGAATATTTTGTTTCCAGGAAGGCTACCACACAGCTACCAAATTCCAACGTCCAGTTGACCTGGAAGGCCAATCTTTTGGACATATGATATGTCCATCTAAATCCCAGGGAACCTTAGTCATGAGCATGAGGCTTAAGGAGTGAAGTTTCAAGGGCTCTTGTGTATGTACCATCTCAGGAGAAAGTGCTCTTGTTCATCGTGTGGGACCTCATGAATGCTGCCTTTCACTTGCTGGAGGCTGCCTATGATGCCACAATTCATGTTCTGCGTACAAATGAGACATTTGGCTGCAGAACCCCAGTGATCCTGGAGTGATTCTGCCATTGGACAAGCCCGTTGGGGTTGTTGGAATCAAGTCCTTCTGGAAACCACTGGGATGTGGGACTCTATCCGCACCGAAAGCCTACGGCGTGAACACTATCAGCGTAATGTTTACCAGACTTCACCAGGCTTCCTCTTTAGACAAGAGACATCTCAGAGTGATCATGAGTGATCCGTCGCTCGTCAAATTAGTGAAACCGTTTGAACATGTGTGAACCAATTGTTTTTCTTATTCTCCAATTGAAACATATTGAAACAACCACGGGCGGTTTTTGATCAGCGCAAAGAAGATCTCAATTTAGAGAGGAACATCTCCCCCGAACTGATGACTGCTGGCCTCCATGTTGTTTTTTTTGGTGAGCTGGTTGTTTAGAATCTAGAGATGTCTAGAGTCTAGAGCGAAAGCGCACTTTCACTGCCAGAACCAGTCTCACACTGCCAGTACTGTTGCTACCGTTGCTGCCAATTATTTGTTTTGTTTTTTTGTGTGACCTTCATGGAGGGACAAGGGCAAGACAAGAAATGCTTTGATGATATACAGTTCAATCCAAGTCTTAGTGTTTGTGCGGAATCTCCGTGTTTGTAATCTGTAATATCATGCTGTACTGGTATTGAGTGTGTGTGTGTGTGTGTGTATCATATTACCCATCAAATACCCGTTGACTGATGGTCTATGAAATGAGGATCCTTTGCGCTTACAAAATGCTCGCTCTAACGTGCATATCATAAACCATCAGTTTGGGATCTTTGCAAATCTACAAGTTGAGGTTAATGTGAAGGTTGGCTCCACATCTTGTATAAATCAGAGGGTTTCAGAGATTGGGTGTCAAACCAAATGTGATGTCAGGGAAGGCATTATGTATAAGGGCTGGATGCCCAGGAAAGTCATTAACTGAATGCTGCACAAGGCATTTTGTATAAACATGGTGGTTGGAGATGGTGTCTTTCAACTTTGGTTACGTGATGCTGTACTATGCAAATTGTGTGAGCAGGCCTTTTTCCTCCAAATCTGAACATTTCTACTGTGTAATGTATTGGTACTATATAAAAACGATGGATCTCTAAACCAAAACATGTTATAGTGACAATATCCTTTACACTCATATCGTAGATCCTGTGTGTTTACAGAGTGAAAATCCACAGACGCATAGGACAATCAAGGAGTATCCCATCAATGATCCGCGCTTCGCCAACCTTCTGTTCTTCGTGCAAACAGTTGCCTACCAATCTGTTCTTCTGATGGTCTGTACTCGAAGCAGATAAGGATTGGAAGAAGTGCTACATCCAGAAGTCGCTGGTATTCAGTGCGCTTCAACATCCATTTTCTTCCATTTTTTTGCAAGTCTCCACGTGGGATTTGGACGTGTTACTGTCTCCCAAGTGAGGGCGAAGCTTCAATTCAAGGGGGGTGATGTTCTACCCCAAAGCGGCCATGTGGTGCCTTCGCTGTGTGGTTTCGGGCAGGTGCAGACCTGCCGGTACCATCTGGGGAAGACGAGAAGGGGTCGGGTCGGGTCGGTCTGTGACAAACCTATGAATGGAAGAGAGCCATCTAGGGGTGCCCATTATCCACTCACTTAGGGACTAAACACCACCCCTTTGTGACTACTGGTAGGTGGCTTCACAAATGTGAATGGTTTTGTTCCATTCATGAATGGATCATAGATGTGACATCGGAATCGACATCGTGATTGAAGTTCATAGAGATTTCTTCGGTTTCACCATTGATCAGCAGATATCCGGACGAGAAGGTAACCGTTCGTCCCACGACGTTGGGACACTGTTCAACGACTTTGGGCACTGTTCAATCGATCCACTATGAGATACAGCTCAAAACTTAGCAGTAGCACCAAACTTTAACGTCTTTTGCAGGAGTAGCTCAATCAACGCACTGACACAAATCCGAAGCTCGCTTCCAAAGGTTCAGACCACTGTTCACAACCAACCACCACAATTGTTTGTCCAAGCCAGACTTAGACCAGCACTGGCAGCTTAGGCCATCACTTGACTGCGTCGCACGATCGCTTAGCGGATGGCTTGTGGCTCTTCTTGGACATCTACGATCGCATGGCTGCTGCGATTGGCGTCGGGACTCACGGCTTGGGCGTAGCTTGGACTAGGAAAAAACACATGAAAAAGCCAACATGCGATGAGCCGACTCAGTCGCATATGAAAGTACACAGTACACAGACCAGACGAATGGGACTGGAATATACATTGACACCTTTTAGGCCATATGGATGGTCTGGGGATGGGGGTATGGTCCAGTTCATTTCTATACGTCGCCCTTTGATATGCCAATGAACATGAATAAGGAAGTATATGAGAAACCCGGGACCCTTGCTGTATACCTGACACCAAGGACTCAAACCCTTTGAGGCGTTTTCTCCAAGATGTGCCTGAGACTTGGCGGCGGCTAGATGCGAGACTTGGGTGGACAAAAACAGGGTCAAAAAGGGTCACCACGTCTGCCACAGGTGAAAACTGCATCGTTTGGGCACGTCTGGTGTCTGGGAAGTTCGGTCACCATGCACTTGTGAGGCTCAGGAGGAACGCAGTTGATCAGAGGTTTGACATGCTGCAGACAATTGTGGCTGCTGATGCAACACCCGTACAAGTATGTTGGAAGTTTCTGCCAAAAACGAAAACGATGTGGACAAGATGTCGATTTTTCAAGCAGTGGAGAAGAGGTCGATTTTCGGGGATGAATTGAAAAGCTTGGTTTGACTGGAGGATTTTTCTTTTGGGTTTCTTTGGGGCGCCAAGAGCTGGAGAAAGGAAGCTGCTACGGCAGATGGATGTTCTCTGCCCGCTTGGCAAGTAAAATCAGCTAGCATGAGTTTCAACAAATCTCATTCTTTGGGCCATCTACGGAATCCGGATTTCAAGCTCAAAGAACAGGGCAGTAAAGTAGCTTCCCTGAAAGCTTCACGCGCTGAAACACGGATCCATTGGCTGCATGGATATATATATATATATATATATCTACTTCGCGTCCAGCGCGCGCGCGGGATGGGCTGCCAAGGATGGCCGCGTGTTGGCAACAGTGGAAGATTGGATGCCGGACATAAAGACGAGCAACCTGGTGCCACATGAAGACGCCATGGAGCGGAGCTGTTGATGTCTTTCATGTGGGGTCCAGGAGAGGGCCAGAAGAATCCAGAAGATGGGGTAGGAGAGAGGGCCAGGGTTCAGTTCCTCAGTTCTTATTGCTCAGTGTTGGCACCAGCGAGTCACAGACTGAAACACGGCAGAACATGATGGAGCACAGACTGCGCTCGTCGATTGGTCGGGAGCACAGACTGGGAGCACTGAACATGAAGTATATATGCAGTGTAAGGTGTTAGGGGAGCTGCTCCTGTCACAGTTGCACCGAAATCCGACATTTTACGACCAGTCGCACCACTGTCCAAGAGAACAGGGGTTGACTAAAGTATTATGGAGGCTCTTCACTCAACGACCAGCCTCCAGAACCTCCTTCACTTCAAGGATGGATGGAAGGACGGACAGACAAATCATCGGATCTTCCCCCGAGGCACGGACCATGCGGTGGCCTGGTGCGAGATGTTGCTGGGAGCCCTACAGCGGATCCATGGCAACGTCTCCTCTGCGCCGCTCGGCTCCGGGAGCTGAAGAGCGACCACGCGGCCACACCGGTTAGACTTGAAACGAATGAGAGTGCTTTGAAAGACAAAGGGATACCTCTAGGTGTTCTTGGCAGCATGATGTTTGTGTGTATAGTTATGTTCCGGCTAGCTATGCTGATGTAAAAGACTGCTGTATCAAGAGGTGCTTAGTGAACCTGCCCTTTACAAGTGCTTATGCATAGATGCTCATAGTAGGAGTGTATATGAGCCACGATCAAAATATGCAAATGCCACTTTAGTAAAAGAGGGGTAGGTGTGCACAAACCTGTAAAACGATACGGTCCACCTCAAAACCGATATCCCCAGCTTATGATCATTAGTATGTGGCGAACTCACAACTAAAACGATAAGGTCCAACTCAAAGCATATATAAAATATCATGTATGTATTATGTATGTCAATGTGTATTTGTTTTAATGTGTTTGTTGAAGAATAAAAATAGGTGTTGACCGTCGCTCATATGTATAGTGATTAACAGGGTTGCTCTGTGATTCGGACAACTCTTTGAACCCGAGTGAGTACGATTGTCTTTGCTCAGCTTCCTGGGCTTCCCCAGCTTGACAGCTGAAATGCAAAGATTTTTTCTGGAATAAAAGACAAGACATTGGGAAGAAAAGCCTCATGTATTGCTTTTCGTTGGGTTGAGGAGTGGAGCCAATTACCCATGCAGGTGCCACCAAGGTGAATGTCCAGTACCAGCGTAGTGGGAAAAACACACACACACATGCACGGCCCGTTTCGGAAAAGCCGGCAGAGGTACCAACAGGTTGCATGATATTGCATGATAACTTGTTCTGAAGTCGAGGATTTGAAACACAGACTGTGAGCACAGCCTTGACTTGAGCAGCAAGCCCATAGGGGATATAGCAAAGAGTGTTTTTCATAGTGGAACAACACCCAGCGCTTTCAAGAACCGGGTCAAAAGCCAGATGCATTGGCCTCACTTCATGTGTGTTTTACATCCTATCCGATTCTTATGCTTGAAGACTTTAACTGCAGTACCATCTCCTTTTGCCATTGGATGCTGAGGCTCCAGCTGTCCTCCGGTGTCTTGATCGGCTACCGGAGTTTGCCTCAGCTGGAGCAATCCTTCGACGTCCCTTCTCATCTCGCATACTTGGATGCCTGGCAGATGTCGGTGGTGCTGGTAAATCCACACAGGTGGGAGATGGTGGAAGGTCAAATTGATGAGGTCCCAAAAGGGCATTGAATAAGGGTCCTTGACTATCCATATATATATATGTATAGTATCATAAAAACATATATATATATATATACATACGTAGTATCATATAGTACCATGTAGTATATTATAGTATCAACAAAAACAGTTCTGTTCATATGGGCAGTCTGTCATTCGAGACGGTCCTATACCGCCACACGGTCCTTGGACCACGCACGAGCGAATTTCCGGTGAGAGGGTGCAGAAGCGGGCAACTCCAACTGCTCATAAGAAGGTACATGCAGCTAACTCATACTAACTCCAGCAATAGTTATATAGTAATATAGCTGTATAGTAATAGTATGGACTTGCATAGCAACTAACTCATACTAACTCCATCTCTCAAAATAAAGGTAAGTTTATAGGCCATGGATATAACTCCATCAAATATGAAGAAGACAGATATAGAATGAAGTACATTGATAGATAGTGGATTAGTAACATGTCTTCATCGGGGAAGGTTCCAGTGAGACTCACCGCCCGGCCGTGTAGCCTCGGAGGTTTGTGGGGCTTTTTGGAGGGTGACAAAGAAGACATGGGATGCTCATTGAGGTGAGCCATGGGACATGTGGCTTTTTCGTTCTGGACCAAATGACAAACCCAATAGAGCTGGGGAACGATCAGTCTTGGAGTCTCAAAAGGAAGTGGCATCGAGAATCGAGATCCCTCAGATACAACGGTGCCAGATGATTTGTTTCAAGCCTTTGGAGGAGTTTCATCTCACATATTTGCGGTTGCAGAAGCTCTTAAAGGAGGTGTCCCATCCCCTAAATTCTATTAAGTGTTCCCGCACACAAAAGTAAACAAGTGCAGAACTCCCTTGGAATATCCTCTCATGGAACTCCCAGGACATGCAGCCCAATTGGACCACCTCGTTGCTACGTTTGATTCACCAAGATCACTCAGGGCTGCCAATGCTGAGCAGAAGCTCTTCCTTTTGTCCCTTGGCGAAGCTCGTTCTCTTCGTCCCACCGGCCGTTCCACCGGTCGACGGGGGCGGCCGAGTCCTTGGGACTCCGGGGACTCGACATGGGACCAACGGCTTTGGGACATGCTTTGGGATGTCTCTTTTTCGCTTTTTGGAGCGGAAAACCCATGTGGGGAGAGTGTTTTTTTATTTAAGCTGGCCCCCCCATGCCAGCTGATGTTTTCCCGAGCACCACTGTGATGTCCGACCATCTCCGAGGTGAGGAGCGGATCCCCTGGACGGACGGATCTCCGGGCCGACGCGGGGCCCGGGCCTTTTGGTTTGATGCCACCGGGTTGCCGGCCATGGTGAGGCCCTTGAGACTTGGAGCATGTGGCCGCAGCCATATAGGTGTCAACACCTTTTGTTTCACTCCATCGTGTCCATTTCCACCTTTTTGGTTCGGTCTGAGGGTTTGGCTGTGGGAGGGACCAACAAATTGTTTGTTTGGTCATTTTGTGAATCGAAACCACGTTTGTGATGATTTTTGTGACACGAGCCTACGTGAACCAGCCTTGAACATCGTAGTTGTTTGGTGGTTCCACAAGGTTCTCCTTGGCTCACGCAAATGCATTGGTGCGTGCGGAAACACAGCTACTCCAGGACACGGCCCTGCAAGAGCTAGCACGGAGAGCAGGAAGGCCCAAACAAATCAATGACCAACGATACCTAGCAAATTAAAGTCTTTTAGTCTCCAGTGGAAGGAACCCTTGGTCTTCCCGCTTTTCCGTTCCCTTGGTTCCGTTCCCGATCTCTTCTCCATAGTAAATACCTTATGACTTATTAAACTACAGTTAAATCTCAACACTTCGGTCATATATCATGTGGGTCAGAGGGGACGGAGACCCATCAGCGACATTCGGCGATGAGGACAAGTCTCTTGGACGAGATTCAGCAGACACACCAGCCACTTAGCCGAATCGAAGATTCAGGACATGTTGACGGAACATGTCGAACACCACGAGCTTCTGATGGCTTTTGCCAAGTTTTGGATGACGTGCTTTCTTCATGTTACCAGTCCGAGCTCGCCTCGTCCGGAGGCTCGCTCGCGTCGGCTCGCTTGTGTCGTCCGAGGCTCAGCTATACCGTTTGGTCGCTCCAATCGGCTCATTTCCCGGTGCCCAGCTGTCGCCCTGACTTCGAAGTGCTCTACGATCCCACCGCCTGCCTGGAAGGCGTGGGCGCGGACGGGAAGTCCCGAAGAAGTGACATGAGCGCCAAAAGGCTCCGATGAAGGCAGCATCACTACAGTGAAGACTAAGTAGAGTGAAGGAAACCTTCAGGAACGATAAGGTTCATTTTAAAAACAAACAGCGATAAGGTTTTAGTACATGTTGTTAGGTGTGTCCAAACCCTGAGGAACGATAAGGTCCACAGAAAAACGATAACGTTGGGAAGAGTGCGCACTACAGCACATATATAAGAGGTTTTGCACGTCGCTCACATGGGGTGCCAAGGAGACTTGCGTTTTGTCGCGAAGGTTGGCCCTTTTTTGTTATGGTGATTTTGCTGTGGACTGTGCTTTGATTCACCTTGATTGTCCTTTTTTACGAGTCCAAAGCAATGCCTATATCACGTCGATCCTTTCATCCTGAAGGAACAGATAGGATTGCTTGGATTGCTTGGATCAACAAACTAGTGCATCAAGGAGGTCGACTCTACTCGCATGCGTGTTGACCAGATCGGACAACTCCCCGCCTTGCGTCCACAACCATCCGTACCCGTTTTTGGATGCATGCTGCTGATGTGTTTGATGTGCACCATGGAATAGGCACTGTTTCAGTTCAAACCAGATGGGATTCTTATCATTTGCTACTCAATCTAGAATGGAGTCGCTAGAGAACAGCCAGACCCTGAGTGGATTGATACTGGAGCCTGCAGGTTGGGCCAAATATATTTACATCGAATCAGTGGACGCTTGGCCTCTGAACGCTTGCAGAGCCAAAGGTGAACACAAGATAGAATAAAAGACGCGCCTGTGTGTGTGTGTATTTAAAGAAAAACACATGCGAGTAATTGCCTACATGAAGCTCAACAAACGTAACTATCATTTTGTTTGTTCAGAAACCTGAGACGTCAGGAAGAAGACTATGTCCGTACAACGGGAAATCCCGTGGTTCAACATCATTGTATCTCAACAGCAGTGGGCCAGGAAAGAGACCCGAGCTTTGAGCATCTTCTTGGAACCCCTGCCCTTCAATAGCCACGGTCCTCAGGACGGACCTCATTCCTTCCTGACTCTAACCTGACGGCTCGTGCCGATCTCTTCCTTAGGATGGATCTTTGCTGGGCCGACTCTCAGCCAAAATGGACACAGATTGGGTCCGGTCGCATAGATGTTGATCGGCTGGTTTGGGACTGGAGATGAACTGGCTCTCTTAGAAAGGAACCCTCGTGCTTAAGGGGGAGGTATCTAGACTCTAGACTGCAGGTGATTGATCGGGTGAAAGCTACATTCCTACGTTTCCGGAAGAATTATATAATAGAAGAGTGTAGCAGCCAAATGGACACAGATTCTTTATTCTGAAAAGCTGTTGTTTTTTCTTTGATGAAGATGACACAACATATACGTCCATATTGCTTCTTTTCCAGGAGTGGTTATGAACACATGTCGGAGGACTGTTTACAGTAATAGTTTGGTAAAGGGTAGTGTAGACAGATGAAGAGTCAGGGGCAGAAGGACAATGCATGAAGAGAATCTAGGGGAGTTGGTTACTCCCCTTTCTGAACCTGTACACATCCAAATGGGCCACAAGCTCAACCTGTTTTGAGGGCAGGGCTCATTCACCCCATCTCGGCCTTTCGCTTTCGTTTCGCCGTAGGGAGCGGCCGGTTGGGCCCTTAGCGGTCTGTCGTCCCCCGAGGATATGAGCCTCGTGCCTGGCGAGAGCGCGAGATAGAATCATCCCTCCACAGGACCGGACACGTCGTGGAGAACGTGAGCGCGAGCGACGAGCGGAGAACGGTGGGGGACACACGGAAGCAGCGGAAGCACGCGTGGAGAACGTGCTTTTCTTTGGAATCCTTTTTGGTGGGTGGATTTCCGTGGGGGTTGGAAGATGAATACTTTTTTGATGGGTTTTATGGCTCAGGTCAATGGCATGGGGGTTGGCTGGGGGTTGGCTTTGTGTTGCTTTCATATAGGTTCATACTTGGGTCCAATCAAGGGATATGATATTTGTCCAGTACCTCCAGTTGTATTCAGCTCTTCCATGGGCTTGGATTGTGCAAGTATATGGAAGGTTTTTTAAGTGGTTCTTTGTATTCTTTGCCCTGTTTGTCCCGAAGCCTTTGTGAGCATGCTGACAAGGGGTCAATGTAGGTAAAGCTTGACATATTCCAATGCCTGCAAAAATCATTAGAAATTCACCCCATGAAAGACGATAATTTCAGGGAGTGTATCTTTCCAATGGGAGACCTGACCCTGGCTGGGTAGACTGATCATGACTGATATACTGTATTTCCTTTCTTCCAGAGGGTCGCCACCTCCCAGTCCTTTCGTTCGTCAGGATCCCCACGCAACGCGAGGGTTTGATCTCCCCACCGGTGCCGGTGGACGCTGGGCGGGGATGGTAGACCCAGAAGGAGTGGGGAGGAGGTGATCTGGAATGACGGGCTAGAGGCCACTGTTCACACTTTTGCAGGATAATCAGATCAGCAATCCACGGAGAATTCACGGAGTCAAGTGCTCAAATCCATTGTTGGAGTGAGAGCTGCAGGGCACTAAACTTATTATATAGTTTGGCATACACTTTAGGCTTCCATGAGCAAATTAACTTGCTCAGGTGGTCTCTTAGGATAGTTGACTTTTTGCTCATATGTCCGCGCAGGTTATGTAAGCTTGATGAGGCATGGTCCAAGACTGCTTCACGCGATTGATATTTGGTTTGAGCCCATCGCCAAGCATGACCCCATCCCAAATCTAACAGAATCGGAGTTGTTTTTTTCTGCCCATACTTCCCACCAACATCACCAAGATGGAACAGCTCACAGCCAGCAGATGGGCGTGGTTGGCCCGTCAAACTTATGGTTTCAACATTCAAGGAACATATTTTTGCACAAAATTGGCTCTGCCTGTTTGAGCAAGGTCCGCTCAAAACCTTCTGGCCAAAGGCCTAAGGCCGAGAAAAACTGAACAACCGCCAGAAGAATGTCAGTCATTTCTGGTTTCTGACACTGGAAGAGCGCCCGTATTGCACCGTTGGCTCCTGAGTTGGCTTTGGAAAACGCAGGAAAAACACTTAAAGGACGCATCTTCACCATCACTTACTTGAGCCTTGACAGCTTCGCAAAGCCATGATGTAAAGCTCAAGCAAAACCCTGCCAAGAGCAGACACATTAAGCCTGACTTCATGTGTCGGCAGTCGAGGCTTGTCCTACGGTCGGTGGCTGTCCTCTCTTGCCAGCAGTTTGTTGCTCTTGTTGCTAGCGTCTTTACATGAGAGAGGCCGTCGAGGGGATAATAAGGCAAAATCGAAATGGACATTTACGCGGACAAACGCAACCCATGTAAATCTTATCCTCGGCCCTGCCCTTTTTTTTCATTAATTGCGAATTCCATTGCCACGTGGTTACTTAAACACAAACTGCTGGGGCAGAGCTGTGCGCTGCGTCCAAGCCAAACGCAAGCGGACATGGAAACTGTTTGACGGGAGTCCATCAGCGGCCGGCCGTCTTTATTTTCACCTTGGCACCTTGAAAACTTCCAGGCTCAGGAAAGCAATTATTTTTGTTTAATTTGGATGTGGCTGGGGCTGGGAACCAGGATGGCATTGATATGCTCAGCCGTTTAGAAAACATGTTTCATTTTGGAGCCTATTTGACGAGGACACTAAATTCCTCAGAAGTTGGATTCCTGGATATGAGCGCGAGGTGACGAGTTAAGATTTAAAGTTGATTGGCCAGCAAGATGGTCGGTCTTGCTGTTTTGATGGTGGTTAAACACGTTAGAAAAACACCACCCGAAGACCGTTTTCCTGCATCTTTCTTACCAACACCCACAATCTTCCATGGGACACCCTTCCACGGATCTTCTTTAAAAAACCTTCGCTACTTACCCGACAGATCGCCACAGCACGCATCGTCCCGTCCTACGGCTGAGGATGTGACCTACGTCTCACCCTTGGTCGGGAATTGCCATCAGTTGAAAGAGATGCTCACCGCTGAGAGCATGACCATCAGCAAGCTGGCGCGGAGAGACGAGATAAGATGGTCGGAGGGAGAGGATTTATTGGAATCGCCATCGCCTATCTTTTCCTCCCTCTCTCTCTCTCTTTCTCTCCCTCTCTTTGTGGGGAGAACTACTTTCCGGCCTCTCGCTGACATTGAAGTATAGACCATGAAACCATTCCGTGAGCCTCTTATTCAAAACAAATCTCGGCAGGTCTATGTGGCCTTCAACCCAACACTGCTACCGCCTGAAGAGGCTTCTCCCAATTTCACAGCGCTGCTTGAGCTTCTTGGCGGTGGAAAAACTTCACTGCCAGGCGAACCCTAAACAACTAGCTGGTAGATGGAACAAACAGTGGCGGGTGGTGGATGGTTTTGTTTGGGTCACTGATGTTGATTGGATCCAAACTAGCTCCCACCCAGCTACCCCAACCGCTTTTCGAAAAACACACACGCACGCCCAAGTCACAGACCAAAACGTCACCGGTTCGTTTCGAACCGGTCGTCGGTCGTCCGCTGAGGACCTGGCGGGAAACGTCCTTCGACGTCTCCGACCGAAGCCTGCGGAGTTTTCTGCTGGCGCAGCCGCTCCACGCGTGTTTGAACGAAGGGTTGGAGTGGGGTGGACGGGGTGTTGGGGAAGGGAATCCTCATGACCGAAGATCGGAAAACGTGATTTTTTCCATAAGTTTGGGGAACTTATCGTGGTTTTATCAACTTTAAGAAGGAATCGATGGATTGATTTGTACCAGTGAGTTTGACCCCAAACCGTGGCTGAAGGACAGGGAATTACAGACAACCCAACAGGAGACTTGAGTGCACATTGATCGTGTATGGTTTTGTGTTTTCGATGATTACCAGGCTATAAGAGGCACTTCACCTCATTCCAAGAAAGGTGACAGGTGAGGAGTTCCTGCTGCGTTAATTGAAGGCTTTGGTAAAACAATTCCTTCGGCAGGTGCTGATGAATGTTACGAACAATGGCCTGCATGACAAGTAGAGAATTACATACTTTGTCACATAGCCACGCAAGATGACACAGCAAGTACCTTTGCATTCTGCAGCAAACGCCCTCCGCTTATTTCCTGGACCTCTCACGTGTGTATTTGGAGCAGGGCCCCCTCCCTTTTGTTCGGAGATGTTTGTGTTTAGGGGTAAGGAGTGCCATAGAATCCCTCAATTTTTCCGCTAGCAGCTCCTAGCATCCTGAAGACGGGCATTTTGCCATTCGGGATGGAGTGGTTGTCTCAGGTAGAATCAATCAGCTTCAGGTAAGCCACCAGTGATCTTTGGTCTTGGACTTGGAGGACAATCCTATACAGTTTTAGTAGGGAGGTCCTTCGATCAACCAATTTTATCCTGACGACTTGTACAGATCGAGTCATGTTGACGTAAACTCTTCAGCTGGATGCACTTGAAAAGCTTGGGTCAACGGAAAACTCTTGAACCACTTGACAGTTGAGTCTTTGCTCAGAACCCTTCTCCATTCTTGTTGGGTGATCACCATCTAAGAAGGATGAAACCATAGGAAGCCAGTTCTTTGTTGAGCTGTGAACTCTCCCTATGTAGCTTCGCCCGTTTTTTTTCATTGGAGTTCGTATCGGCGCACTCTCGTGCGAGACAGCGCGACCGCCGCGACCGTGAGGTGTTCCTTAAGAACGATCTCCCAGTGGCTCCTCCCGCTGCACTATCGCCTTTTGCACGTGGAGCACTTCTTGGCAGTGCTTTGGGCGAGCACTATTCTTGTTCCAAAGAGAGCTGAGCAGGGCGGGTCTCCAGAGCCAGATTGATGTGGTTCTATATTCTGGGTGTACTTTTTTTGTTGGGGGAGGGCAAACAAAAAGAGATGGTACATCATTTGAAAATCCATATGAGGACGCGATGTGAGGTAGTTTTTGAAGGCAATGTTCAGTTCCCCTAGGATGAACCGGTGAGTTCTGTGATGCGCATGGGTCTAGGGCTTGGCGGCACTGTTCGTTGCTTGGTTCTCCAATGTGCTGGCGGCTCCTTTTTGAGGATATTACACTCTGACGAACACATCACATGGAAGTGGAAAATGGCCTCTTGGAAGACTACTTTCTTTTACAAACAATGGGTTTTCCACTTCCATGATAGTGAGTTGGAGTGTGGATGTTGGTTCCTTTGGAGGCAGATAGAGCATGATAGAGCAAAGGGATTCAGCAAGTCTCTAGGAAGGTATCTTAGGAAAAACCATGCAACATCACTCCATATTCAGTCATTTGCGATCGAAACACAAGCGGAGGCAAACACATGTTGGTTGCTCCAGCCAAAACCACCAGGCTCGATCATCCTCGGCCCACATCCAGAATGCTTGGCCACAACATGTGGGTGATGGCTGAACTGAGCAGACAGAATCTGGCTTTCTTTGGGTGACATTGTTGGACCCGAAGTCGATTGACATCTTTTGACACTCAAATCCCATCATGTTTCAGTGTGGTTCAGAACAGCAAACAGTTCCGAAAGAATGTGCTGGAGAATCCTGAACCTATCCAGATATATCGCTTGGAGCATGTGAAGTGCATGTCTTGCCATGTCTTGCCATTTCAAGAGTTGATAGCAAGTTTAGACCTTCTTTCTTCACAAATCCCAATCGTTTGGTCCGGCGAATGGGTCGTCCATGGGACGCATGGTGAAAAAAGTGTGGCTCATGGCACCGGAGGACCCTTCAGCGGGTCAAGCCGAAGAAGGGTGACACGGGGGGTCCAGGTGCCATGACCCGATGAAGCGGCTTCCAGGTGCCATGAACCCCTGTTTGGGGTTCCAGGTGCCATTGATGAGTTCACTGGAGACAGGAGACATGGGCGAAGCAGCGAAGCCATGTGTTCTGACCGCTTTCGACAGGTTTATGTGCACACGGCCTTTGACGCGTTGTTTCCGGCCACCAATGAGATGGATGCATGGCGTCAAGGCTTCTTGGCGAATCTTCGGGATGTCACGGGGAAACTTCTGGATGCATCCAATTTGTCCAAAGGCAACATGGAAACATTCACTCATATTCAGAAACTGGTCCAAGAATGCAACTTTGTTTAAGTTGAATTATGTGTATATGTTGCATGTTATGCATTCCTTTGGGTTTGTTTTCTAGGGTATGTTAATACGAGGTGGTATGTTGCCGTCAAGACGATCACTGTGGATTGATTAGATTGATTCCACTGCTCAGGATGGTTTTGCTCACCGTTGCCGCCTAGATGCACAAAGGCCCCAGGCATGAATCATGTTGATGCAACCTTTTTATATACTATTTGCACGGATGGATAATAAAGGAAATGACATGCATCGATTGATTGTCACCACCTGATGACATGCCACCTCACTTGGAATCGCCGCACATGTCCCATCGCCTCCTTTGCGCTTTCAGATATCACCGTTGGGCTTCTCCAATGCAAACATATTTCCGCGTTATACTTTTTGGAGGCAACAGCAGAGGTCACAAGGGTTTGCGCTGGCCAAGCAAGCAAGCAAGCAACAATGGACCAACCAACTGCATACCAACACCCACAAATTTGTCCTTCCTCCAAGGTCCAAATTTATTTTTGGGTTGGAAAGCGCCACTGGAGCGCTACTGCCTTCAGCAGAGTTGGCTTCTCGCGCACTCTGCGGCCCAGGCCGGCAGAAGAGACTGAGACTTAGATGTACCCGTAGCCATAATGTGTATATACATTCCCAGCAGAGTGCAGTTGTTTTTCAATCTTTGAGGCTGGGAGTTGTACACAGTTTGTGTATATTGACTATATCATGATTATATACTATGTATACGATATATATACTAATCTGTTTTATAATTGGATGCACCTATTTGTCTCGAAGGATGTCCAAGTAGATCCTTCATGCAAAACGCCTCCGTTGCGGCTGAAGGTACATCGCTGGATTGCGACTCTCGGAAGAGTTTCTGTTTGTTTTTTGTTTGTGTTGGTTGCTTAGTTTCTTGGTTGGTTTGTCCAGGCTTGTTTGTCAGTTGTGTTTGTATTTTAAGCGGCTAGCGATGTTTCCAGTTTTGTCAGTTCTGGACAACAATATACCGTCAAGAGCATGTCAAGAGAGACAGACTTCACAGAACGCCAGCACCACCCAAAGTTGTTTGGCTGTGCTGCAAGAAAAACAGCTGGTTTGTATTTCTGAAAATAAACACTATCCATATCCAGTCCCATGTCCCAGGGAGGTCCTCCCAACCGCCACGTTCTTTTCACCCCTGCCTTACGTCGAGGAGTGCCTGGTGCCCTACCAGGGCCTCCTTTGTCAAGAGACCTCCGTGGGCAAACATCTACGGCCCTACCAGGCACCGTCAGCATCGCCATCACCGCCCCCGACCGACGGCGCAGAATCGGTTGTGGGTTGATGAAGCCCGAGAATCGATGGGGTTGGGGAGATCATCGTTTCTTTTTTATGTCTACCGGTATTGTAGACTCGGTGTTTATATTTCTTTTAAAACCCAATTGGATTCTAAAGGTTCTTCATATGGCGAGTTTGATTCATCAAGAGTCTGCATTATTCAGATGTGGTAGGTCACCTGTAGGTCATTTAACTATGTGGAAAGTTTTTGTTGGCTCTTCACAGCTTGAACTGCTTCCCCACGGGTCAGGCTGCAATCCACTACATTGTGGACGACACTCCGGAGCAGCTTAGCGAAGCGCTGCTTTAGGCTTCGCAAAGAACGTGTCGGGTTACATGTTTGTAGGATGCAGCAAACAGGCGTTGACTTCTCAATACAACAGGGCCCAGCATTGTTTCAAGTCGTTGGCACTTTTTCAAAATTCACTCAAGTTCAGGATTTGGAGCATGGTTCGACTAGCCAGTGCTAGACCAGTCACCCAAAGCAAGCCCTGCGGTGTCAGAGATCCAGTCATCATCGCAGCGGTCTGGATCCACTAGGTCGTCTGGAGCGAAGAAACATCGCACAGAGGAGCACAGTTCAATAAGATTCAAAAAGGAAGAGGGTTCAACATCATTCGTCATTTGATGTGTTTGTTTTGATGTGTCGCTCATTCTAAACCGTTTCATCCAATTTAGGCAGAAGACGGATCGCAAGACAAGTAAGGCCTTCAGGCCATTGGAGTGGCCATTTCGTGGCCCGAAACGCTGAGGCATTTGCAAGAGCTCATCTTCAGCCTCAAGAGTCATCCAGCCAGATGGGGTAAGGGGTATGGGATGGGATGGGATGGTATGGGTCGGAATCGTTTTATAGGACCTTGTGGGGCAGAAAAAGAAAAACCTCTATATATAGCGGTGAAATGTTGAATCCATATAGGTCTTTCTTCATGTCCAGCGGACGGGCCGTTGGGCTCAATGAGATTCATACCATGTCCGCTGGGTTTCCTTTGTCCTTTAGGGTCCGGTGACGGACCTGTGACGAACCTGTGTAAGATACACTGGTCGGATTGGTTGGGATCTCTACAGAGAGCGAAGCTAGTCAGAGTGGTGAGGATCGTGCTGCTTGAGCCAATTCATGGAAGGCATCGTTGCATCAGCTGACCCAAACTGTTGATACTGATCATCGTGCGCGGGAACATGACTAGTATTGTGTTGGCCCCTTGCTTGCTTGTTGCTGCTTTGGGATTTATACTTCTCTGAAGAGATTGTTCAATGCTTTCGTTTTACGAAACAGGATGAGGGACAAGATCCCTCAGCCACTGCCATTTGGCCATCAGGTCTTTTCAAAGCCTTCAACGCTAAGCATGACTACCCGGTGCCCTGGAATTGGATTCAGATGGATTCGACATCTTCTTCAACCATGCCATCCAGTCCCTCCACATGGGAACATGTCCGATTCTTTGGACCACGCGGAGCGATGCGGGAGCGGCTGGTTACGTTGTAGAGACAAGGAATGGGTGCCATGTGTGTGTGGACAAGCCTCATGACAGGTCATAGCATGTCATAGCCTAATAATGGACCAACCATGGATCAACCATGGATAAACTCCTGAACTCATGACATAAATGAACCGATGGATAAATCTTGCCACATCCTGAACTCTTTGAGATCGGCGAACGGACTGAGGTGCTCATTTTCCATGATGGACTGTCCTCGCAAAGCCGCCAACGGCTCCGGGCTGCGAGTCTGCAGCGGATTTGGTTCTTCTCGGTGGGAGAGCAGTGGCTGCCAAAGGCACAGATGCACAGCAGCTTTGGATTGGGTCACTGGGCTGAGGCAAAGATGTGTGATGTGTTTCTTATTTTTAAATCGGACATGAGCGGACCCAAGCCTAGCATCAAGGTAGATAAACATCTCTCAATAGGCCATCTATATAATCAGCTGATTTGTTCATTTTCAGCGGAGGTACGGACATCCAGTGGATCATTCCGCTGTGCTTGCTGGACCACCCCACAGAACATCTTGGTGCATGATGTCGTAGCGAGTGATTGTAACAAGATTGAATTAGTGACCCAGGTTGCCCAAAACCAGGTAGAGCCTTTCTGATAGTTGAGTCTACAAGAGTCTGGCACCATTGAACCGTTTCATTCAGGATACATGGCTCAGTCCCGCTTCCGCTCGCAGCCGCTCTTCGATCATCCTGCAGTGCAAGGTTTTGACCCTTGGAGTTGCTTTTTGGGGCGTTTCCGAGGGAAGAACTCCGGCACCACTTCAGAGTTTGGGGATGTTTTACAGCTGTTTTAGTCGCAGGATTTCGGACTGTGGGAGCGGAGGATTACATGATTCCATGTGTGGAAGACCACTTACACTCCCTGAAACAATCATGGTTACGTGGAACAGTTCGGCCCGGGCCCCTGGAAGACCAGTCTTGTCCTCTACAAGGGGGGTTTGCCCAGCTTCCATGATTGTTTGAGGGAGGGTAGATGATGATCTGTGTGTTTTAGTTGGGGATCCCTGAATCTTCCTTAGAAGACAGACCAAGAGCATGCTCCGTGAACGTCTTTTCGGTAGAATATGTTCTTCCCTTTGCAGCCCAATTTGGTCGGCTTAGTTGCTGTTATGTGCCTGCTGGATCTCCCATGTACAGCTTGCCTGTGGCATTTCCTCAAGCAAGTTTCTCTTGGGCGCAGGTGGTTGTGCGGTACTCAAACGTTCCAGATTCCATCTACAAGACACGTGTTTCCATGTTGCCATTTGATATCATTTACTTTGAATATGTTTGTGTGTTTCAATTTGCATCAGCTATCACATGTTGTGCAATTTGTACGCAAAGCATTTGTTTCATGTTGTTCCCATGTTGGAAGTGTGCATTTTGATGTTAATGGGATGGATGGTTTCGCTGGCAGCTGGGCGATTCAACATGTTTTTTCTGCTCCCCGTCAGCCCAACTGAGTCTTGTCAGGACTACTTGTGGTCCTTGGACAGCGACAGCCATTTTCCGTCCCAAGTCAAGGCTGAATGGGAAGGGTGGCGTACCCAGCCCCTAGGGCTCCAGTCGTACCTTCTGAGAAGGTGGGACTGGGGGCCCGGGTGGGTTTGGAGGGTCCAAACACCTGAGGAGGTACGACTGGATCCCAAACGGGAGCTTTCAAGAATATCTACCTCGCCATCCGCGCACACTTTGGGGCCAAACATCGAAGGGCGCCCAGCCCTTCTTCACTCGACCGATCACCGGACGAATTTGACAGTTTTTGGTGGGTGGGTTTTTGGGTGAACCCTTGGGACGAACCGAACGGACGAACGCTGGTTGTGTAAAAGACATTGAAGTATAGGGTAATATCGTTGTAACCGCGATGTCACCCTCTGGTGTGACATTTGTTGACCTTTTCAGGTGAAGAATGCCAACCAGCTCGCCGGGCGGGTCCCTAAGCGGGGTCCACTTTAGGGTCCCTTCGGCTTGAAGGTGGATCCTTTCCTGGAGCTTCACCAGAACTCCCACATCGTCATGTCTTGGCCACTCAGTTTGGTTCATCTGATCACGATCGCGCTGCAAAGCACCGGTCGTTTTTGGGAAAGCCGAGTGATGGGGATGGGGTTTGCTTGGGTGAATGTTGTCAGATCCGATTGATAGTGGGATACGTATATGAAACATTATGAAACTCCGTTTGTTCACCTTGATTGGTCCATGTTGAGTAACACCTGTATAATTAAGCCAAGCAACATCCGTGGAAGGAAGGCTGAGACGGCTAGTTAAGGAGATTAAACGTTCATCCGTTGCCGTTGCGTGTTAAAAATGAATGATCGTGATTACAAATATTTCAAGACATGTATATAGGATTGAAGACACGTGATTCCTGCACAGTCTGCAGTCAGTTTGATATGTCATTTTTTTTTTTTACAGGCTTGATCAGTTCTGCTGGCCCCTATGATGGAGCTTGGACTGGGTACAAGAAAGTCAATGTATCAATAGTTCCAGGAGTTAATGCTCCCTATCGGGATCCAGTCGTACCTTCTCCAAACCCACAACAATGTCTCCGTCCGAAAAAAAAAAAAAAAATAATAATAAAATCTCACACGTGTGCGAGTGCAGTCCGGGCCACTCCTTCTCACACCCGTGACGACGGGCCACGAATTGATTCACACGTCGTCCGTGGCCTGACGGAGACGATGTGTCGACCTGAGGTCCTACATGACCTCCACGTCACCCGCCTCGGTCCGACGCTTTCTGTCCTGGCGGGTTGGATGCGAAAGAGCCATTCATTGCGCAATACACCTTTAAGTGGTGTTTGATGTGGAAGAAGTAGGGGGGAAGTTTCTGGTGAAAAGAACAACTCTATAGACTTGCCGTAGACTTGCTGGGCTTCTGTTCTGGCGCGCAAAGATGAAGGCGGATCAACACTGAATAGCACTTAAAACTCAACACTTGAAGCATCTTCAAACTCTAAGCAATTGTTCATGGAAACGGCACACATGATGTTGTGTCAAAAGATGTCAACGGAGTGATTCCCCAAACAACAGCTTGTTTCCCTCTCCCTTTTTCTGTGCTTGCAGTACTTCTTTGGTATGTGGTTTGGAGATGGTTGGAGTTTTTGCACCCCATGCTGATCGTAAAATGGTGGGTTTCTGGATCTTCTTTGGGGGAAGCATGGTTGTCAGGATGTGTTGGGCTGTGGGAGACAGAGTGCACCTGAATCATCCTGAATAATCATAGTTTCGTTCAATTATACTATATATATATGATTATTTAAGGATGTATGGATCCTTGAGAATCCCTAAGAATAAACAATATAAAACCAGAAATATACATATATATATATATTGGTAAATTAATCCCTTTGGTAAATTATTCCACGATGCTCGACCAGGTTGCATTTGATTCATCGATCAGGCTGCCTAATATGTCAGTTCGAGTAGCCGGGAAACTTGGACAATCACAATCGCTTGATGAAGAAAACCTCAGGTATGGTACTCTTTTTGGTCAAGACAACAACCTCATTGTCATGTTGTTTATCGTTTTTTAAACGTTCTGGGCTGTGGATTGCGGACTGCAGATTGTGTGTGTCGAAACTTGCCTTGCCTCGCAGTTTCCACAAACCTCACCCAAATCCTCAATTGTGGAATAATTTTGACATGTTTCTGTGGGGCCCTGTCATTCTCTTGCACCAAAGGAGGTTTGCCTTGTTTTTCTGGTTCCTGACTGTTTGCAACTCATGGGCCTTTGCTTCGAGTTCAGGGAATGTTCCATGATCCTGTTAGCAAGCAAATCCTGAGGAAAGCTTTGGGACTACACCATGATCTACGCCATGAAGGACTCCCAAACTCAAATTCATCAGCGTTGCCGGAGACTTCCGGAGAGAAAAGGGTTGCAATGTGAAACGTGAAACCTCCCTTCAAGGGTTGGGAAGACTTATGACATCTCATGACATGCCCGTGCCTAAACATGTTCTTCCAGATTGAATGTCAGCTTTGGAGCGAGCATGTTCAAATGATGCAAAGGTGGAATTTGGGTCACAGTTCAGAAAAATCGTGCTCCGGCAGGAAAATCTAACGCTGACCAACAGACTATTGACCCACACCCCTGCATGAATTACTATCTACTCACGTTTCATGTTATACTATTTGAAACAGTTCGATTGGTCTTCTATGTGTCGGTCAGGAGCACATTGATCTATGGCCTTTGGAATGCATGCCTGGCAGTTTGTTGAAGGACATGTGCTTCAACATCTTCAACTTTTTAAGCACATGTTGAAGACTGAAGATGTTAGTGGCTGAAAGTCGTTGACTTGCAACTTACTTCTTTTGTTTACATCTTTCAGTCAAGTTGCGTTAGTGAACTGAAAAGAAAAAAAACAAGATGATGAGGTCCGAGAAGCTGAACGGCTCGGTCGGATCGAGGCCGCTAAAGCCGGGGCGGTTTGACTGGCGGGGCGGTTTGGCGGGGCGAGGGGCGGTGCTAGGGGACTAGATCCACTGTATCCATATCATGCAGGCATAGAGGATTGAATGGTGATTTCATGTGATTGCAGCTTCATGCGATTGCAGCTTTGTTGGGTCAAGAGGAATGGCCAGGACATGGTGAAAGCATGCCTTGACTAAAAAAGGTGTTCTCTTTCAAGAGGCAGCTTGGATACTCTGGAATCTCTTGGGGTTGCTGTGTTGCCAGTCTCCTGTCTGGTGTCGCAAGGACTGTCCCTTCCATTGAGGTCATGGGTCCAAACGAGATCTGATTGGTTAAGTGACCCCAAATCTAGAGAGAAGAAACTAGAGCTTGGAGTCCCAAACAACGAGACCAAACCTTCGAAGGTATGGATCGGTACGCAGGTATGAGTCGTCTCAATTCTTTGTACATCGGAATCACTTTGCGACATCCCCAGCTCGAGTATTTGACGGGAGGACTGGCCATGTCAGCCATGTTTGCTCCAAGTTCAGTGGGTGCTGTGAGGAACAGCAATCTAGATATTCAAGGGAATCCATGGGCAACCTATGCCTGCAATGGGGATGCCATCCACGGTTGGACACTTCATGCCGAGAAAAAAAGCATCCGGGTGCCACATGGTGGCCAGGATACGAGTCACGGTTTGCCTTATGTATTAACTGGCATTTCTCAGGGCTTCGGCAGCGGCATGGCTTCTGGCGTTCCTCATGCACTGATTCACTGGGAATGCTTTGTCCGCACCTGCCAGCTTGCTGGAGTGTGGTTGAACCCTTGTAGGGGTGGGGAGTGCACAATTCCAGCTTTCCAGCTTCTGGTTTTATATATTGATCACCGATCGTCGACCGGATCGTCGGTTCTTTCCCGTAGAGTTCACCCCTGGCCGCAAGGGCAGAGACATCGCACTTCATCTCCAAGTTCTTGGTCTCCAATGGCCTCCCAGCATGATGAATTTAACAAACCGAATAGGTGGCGTCGATGTAGGCTGTGGTGTCAGGATTTTCCAGGTGGCGAGCACCCACCAGGGTTGCCGCCTTGGTTTCACTGTGTGAGAAATAGAAATAAGTTGGCCATTCACTTATCGAAAAGGTATAACCTGTCAGATTTTGGGTTAGGATATAGATGGGTATATATATATAGATGGATATAGGGTTTCATGTTTTTGAGGGATGGAAGTTTTTGTTTTTCTCGATTTAAAGAGAGCAAGCGGTAAGTTGCCTTAGTTGTTGTTCATTTGATTAATCAGTAAGTTCAGGGCGTTGCAACCAAAGTCTTGGCATTAATATGTTTGTCATGCACAAGCTTGCTACTTCTTGAGCATCCGCCTGTTGATACGGTCAAATCTTGTGACGGTCGCCGGTTCTGTGCATCCAATACGAGGGATGTTCCATACGTGTTGCGGACTTTCGGGCCGAACCAAACCGGCCCTGGGTCCGAATGGACCATCCAACAGACAGAACAGGTGCAAAACACGATCCATCCGAATCCATATCCATCCTGGGACATTTTCTTGTTCTCAGTTAGACTTTTTACTCAGGTGAGTAGTGCAGTTCCTTGCCCCACCATGCATGCAAGTCGAAACGAACACCAACAATAAGATGTGAAAGGCATCGCTTTGATGGCATTCAAATTGCTGGTGCCTGCGGCATGGTTTTCCAGACAAACTGAGGCCTGAAAAGGATGCCTGCATGGAATTACAATGTGCTGATGACTGATTGTGGCCTGGTGCAGTGATGTTGTGACAGTTGAGCCAGTCCAAAAAGATGACCATGAGCAACTAATATTATTGTCAATATTGTTATTTTTCTCAACAGTTTATGGCTCCAACTACATCCTCCATAAGTTTTTTTGGGCTTCATCAACAGTGCCAGCAAAATCACAGATACCATGGACTGGCATATTCACCGCGAACTTCAGATCAACGAGCCTGGCCTGGTCGGTCGGACTGCCGCTCCCAGACCTGGAAGTGGAAGTGGGAATGTGTAACTGTGTAGCCTGTGTAGCTCAAAAAGGGACACCAAGCCGGCAACGACTCCCTTGAGAGAAAGAACCCCCCTTTGATTGGTCTCCCTATTTCAATTTCAATGATACACACCCGTTAGTCACTGTGGATCGGCCACAGTCCCAGGCGAAGTCTTGCGGCTCTCCTTCTTCCGCAAAGCGCGGTATCGGCTCCTTGGACTGGATGATGTCCGTCTAGGCGATGTTTGAAGATCGATCTTTAGATGAGGATGTGTTCTTCTTTGAGGTGAATCTATGAGGATTGGAGAGGAAGAACATCTATGAACATCTGATTTATTCTGATTTTATGTTTGCTCCAATCTTTGAGGTCAATCCATGATGAAGATTGGAGCAAGCAGAATAAAATCATATCAAATCTAGGATCCCTCGAGCCAGAGATGTCTCGTCCATCACTCATATCTTTTCTTCTCCTGCACTTCGATTGGACATTTGGACTCGATTGACCACTGCCGAAGAAACCACAATCAGGACTACATTTAGAATATCTCTTGGAATGTGCTTTTGAAGAAAGAACAAGCCAAGAAAAAACGCTTGATGAAAAAGAGTGTCACTAGTGCGTCAATCACATATTGGACCTATTGAGGACATGTGTATATATATATACATTGCCTGTAATATGCAACAATCAACACACATATACAATATATGTATCATTAGTTATAATTAATGTATAATATATATGCATGCATGATATAGCAAACAACAAACTGGACCGCTGACCTGAGGCACTACTTTGACTTTTTGGATTCCATGGAGGGCTTCTTTCGCCACCGCTGGGGCGACCATGCCGTGCGCTCGTTGGGTCTGGCTTTGGCGCTCTGGGAGGAGACGTCCGAGACCAGTGGAATCCTGATGACTTCATGTAGACGAATTCGATCTCTCTTCCTCTATAGTGTCAACCCGAATTACATCATGTAGAGGTTTTACAATCCGTCTGAGGGGGATAGTAATCCAGAGTCCACATTCATTACAGGGTCTTGGACTGTAGATATTCGGAATGTAGATGCTTGGAGCTACATAATGATGGTGCCCATGATGGTCACAGAATGTCTTTATTGCATCCAAGACAATGCCGTGCCACCTAGCCACTGTGAGGCCGGACTGAACCAGTGCCTTCGGTTTGAAAAGGTAGGTCCAGGTAGGTTGAAGGGAATACTGCTAACTTGCTGGGAGACGTGTAGAAGTGTAGAACTCAACTGGGCTGGCTGGCTTATGAATCTTCAAGTCAGTTGCCGGTTCAACTTGCTGGATGCTATTCAATAGCAGGCGAAAGACCAAACAGCTGGCTGTTATTATTGCAAGTCCGTCCTTATCGGTTCCGCAGGAAGATCGAAGCACCTGGCGCATCGGTGCTGAGCCCAGGGTGAAGCAGATGGAGCTGCCGTACGCGGCTGGGCTGATAGGATTGAGGAAGATGGAGCTGCCAACTGCGGGGGAACGCGAGAAGTCATGTAATCCAAGTCCCAAGGGTTTGGGGCAGTTGGGCCCTATTGGCGAGCCTATTGACTCCTCAGAGCTTCCGAAATCATCGTGAGGTGATCAATCAAAAACAGACTCAACTGCTGCGGCGACATCGACTGTTCAAGAGACGAGGAGTTGAGGAGTCATGAGGAGTCCAGCAGACATGTCCCGCCCCGTGAGCAGAAGCTGGACTTGGATTCTAATGGATTTTTCCCTGAGAGTCCTGCTATCAGTAAAAGTAGGACTGATATAAATTACATAAAAGTCTACCAGACGCAACAGTTGCAAACTGGTATCTTTGCTCTCATGCTGAAAGTCCAGGTACAGTTAAGTCGATGAAGCATCTTCCAGGTACATCCGGCTCGCCTGATACATTCGAACAGTCCAGTTAACGGTTCTTCAGTCCCACCACCCCCGGGCTCTAGCCCCTTCCTCCTGAAACGCCGAGGCTCATCAGGACTTTTGTCAATGCCATGATCGGAAGACCGGGCCTTGCCGTCCAATCCATGACCCCAAGCAGCAGATTCTGCACAGCGAGCTGCAGGGCCTTCGCAAGAGGTTTTGGACTTGCGAGGCATAGAGAGGCAACCTTCATTTAGAAGATGTGGTAGCTCCTGGAGTTGTTGGAAGATGCCCATCTGTGCATTGGAAGATTTGGTAGCTCCTGGAGTTGCTTATAGATGCCCATCTGTGCATTGGAAGATTTGGTAGCTCCTGGAGTTGTTGGAAGATGCCCATCATCTGCGCATTGGAAGATCAGGTAGCTCCTGGTTCTGTTCTTAGCTTGCAGGGCCACCACCTTGGATTGCCTTCGACCTGACTTTCGCACTTTGCGGCCGATGCAACACCGGAGTTGCGCACGGTTCGTCTCACCGTCTCTGTTCTTCACATGGCTTCACCGTCTCAGTACCGCATGGAGAACCAGTCAGCGGAGAGTCCAGCGGCTGGGTGCCCGTGGCTCGTGGGGGTCGGAGAAGCTGAAGAGAAGCCGAAAAAGAGCTGAGCACTTGAAAAGGCCAGTGACCTTTGGGGTGTTTCATGGTGTTGATCCGTTAAGGCCAGAGTCTCCATTGGACATCCGACCCATCGGATGACCGTAGACTTGATGCTAAGACACGGGGAGCGGTCCGTGGATCCATGTTGTGTGTCCAGCGTGTGGGGCTTGCTCATGCTAGTAGTTATGGTGTCTTTACTGTGTTCTTCGTAGTGAAGGTGATCTTGGATGCTGGAACGCACAATCGATATGGACCTCAAATCCATGGCGACAAAGTCTACAAAGGCACCAATAATTCCAGGCAACCTTGCATAAAGAATGTGTTTGACACACACTGCCAATTATATCGCCATCCCGAGAGCCCAGATGCGCGTCTCTTTCACTGATCCATCTTCTTGCAGGTCATATCCCCTACCGCAACAGTCGCCTCACCATGCTGTTGAAAGATTCCTTGGGAGGAGACTCAAAGGCAGACGGCGCGAACGGTCCGAGTGGTGGGCCAGGTGAGGAGGCACCCGGAAGGTCGTGAGGGTCGTGATTGAAAGCGCACTTCCGGTGAGTTGCACGAAGTGTTGTACGTGCCGGAAGTTCATGTTAGATAATTCTCATGTGCTTCTTCAAGAGCATGCTTCATCATATTTCATCATGGGAAGCCCTTTTTGCTTGTTTGTTTTGTTTTCGGTCTAGCCCCTTCATGGATGAACACAAGTAGCTCATGACTTCACTGCACGTCCGATCATCACACAGTGCATATGAAGGCAGTACCTTGCAATAGTGAGAGCATTTTATTCATTGGGCTGCACACTGCTCGAGCATCCTTCATTCCAGCAAGGTATCCACATGGCTTGAGTCCCTCAAGTGCAAAAGAAACACTTAAAACAAACTTAAAGAAGTAAGTCATACAAGGTAGATCAAGCACCATCATGGTATCCAGGTGACTGATCGAGCTTGCGTATCGAGCCATTCTGTCGATGGTGAACTTCATAGAGTCCAAGGATGTGGACGGCCGCTGATTGGATGGTTTTTGTTGCCACATCCTTGGAACTATAATATTATACTGCATATATCTCCATGGGACTGGGTCAGACATGCGCCATCATGGATGGGTCAGACATGTGATAAATGTATATTCCATGCATGGATGGTTTGGGACCTCTTCAAGCGGTGAATTTGGATGCTGTCATGGCTTCAAACGTCGACGCATAGTATGCATAGCGAAACGTGTGTCTGGGATGAACAAGCTATAGTCCATGAATTTAGCTTACACACCGGTGTGATATTTAGATGTTTCCTACATCACTCATGAAGAGTAATGAAGTTGTGGTTTTAATCATATTTGGGTGCACAGCACCTTGGTGGAAGTAAAAGTAGATGAAACACCATGGCCTGGCACTGTAGGTCAACCCCACAACTTGGCGAGAACGGGTGCTGGTGGTCGGACACGCTTCTTTTTTCATGCAGGCCTTGATGTTCGTGAACGTCTCCATGTGCTGCCAACATCTTCCCGAAACCCTCTCCTCCCTGCGCTTTGCTGCAAAGGCCTGGCTCGGCGGGCGATGGTGTGTAGAGAGCCCATGGGAGTCCCTCCAGCCAATGGGTTTACACTCGGACACATCACATGGAAGTGGATGGCCCACTGTGTTCGTAAAGGACACTTGTCGTCCAAGGGATTCCAAGGGTCCATATTCCACATTCCATGCAAGTGAGTCGGAGAGGGAGTGTTGTAGTTTGCTCGTCTACAACTTAAATGGTTACTATACGGGGGGACATGCGTATCCCTTTTCAATATGGACACCTGCATGGACACCCGATGCTTCGTCGAGTTGCCGCTCGCTGGGCCAAGCACGGGAGCAGCATGGCTTGGTTTCGGGAGTTTGGTGTATTGTTCTTTTCTGCGGGGATGTTGCTGCCATGCCAGCAACATGTGGATTGACTGGAAGGGAAGGCTGGATATGGCTGGATCAACTGGGAAGTTACTGCTGAAGGTCAGCAGATCTTGGATGGGATCAAAACCCTTCTTGTTTTTTTCACTTGAGTCACGAGACATGAAAAGTATCTCGTGGTTCTCTGATGAAAGGATGCTTCGACCATCCTGGCGAGGCGAGCCATCAAAGTAGATCCAAAGGTGCCCTGCTGAACTGAACCACATCTTGTACAACATGAAGTAATGGCACATACATACAATACAAAAACAACCAGTTTGCGAGAAAGGGTCCTGTGCAAAAGGGTCTAGGGGATCTTTGTTTACATTCCGTGTGAGTGAGTCACACGGGCTTGCCGTTTAAGCATGAGGTACACGCATGTGAAGTGGGCCTGCCTCGCCGGCAATAGTGTGGAGGGATCACGTCTAGATGACGAGCTGGGCTGGAAAGCATTTTCTGACAGTCAGGTATGTGGCAAAAGGATGCAAAAGGTTGTATTCCTTTTTCGCATACATCTTCCTCCCCAAGTCAAGTAGACAGAAACCATGTCGAACACTTGTCAGAAAGGTCATTAACTTTTCTACTTGGCATTGAGTCACTGTAGCAAGATGACTTGGGTCCCTTTTCTATCTACTTGTAGCAGCCCTTCCATTTAGTACATCCTATAAAGAACAACCTACCCAGGAATCGGGCTGGAATCTACAGTACTTGCGGACCGCGGACCATCTGGGTCTCGGTGAACTGCGATTGCTGGGAGGGTTCCATGGCCTTGCTGAAGCTCAATTGAAGGACGTCCTGTCTGAGGGTTGCTAACATTGGATGAACTATTATGACCATGCCAAGGGTTGGCTTTGAAAAGTCTTGTTTACTATTGCGCAACTGAGTGCCGATGCTTTGTTGCCATGCTATATACGTCCGAAGGACCTGGATGCTAAGGCCCAGTCCAAAGTTGTTGATGTTGACCTAGTTTTGCTCAAGGTGATTTTGTATTTTCCCTGTGGGTGAATCCCCTTCAAATCCAAGTTGACGACCAAATTCAGCCCAGGTAGTCTCCAGAGTTTTTTGCAAGCATTGTAGATCCAAATGGGCGTTTGCCTTTGACACAGATGACATAGACATCATAGACCAACACTGCCCCACACGTTGCATGCCATGGGATGTCATATAGGGATCTACAATGCGCGATTTGCATGGAAAGACTGGGAGATCGGCTCTCCGAGTCATGCGTAGAAGACGATCGAACGTGGCGAAGAAGGGACGATCGAACGTGGCAAATCTGGACGATGGACTCTCAGAGGTTCCGGCTAGATGTTTTCGTCCCGGAACAACTAACATCTAACTCCTGTAGAACATCTAACTCCTCAAGACCAAAAGGTGACATCAAGCGTACCATGGGGTGGAACCGACCTTAGTCAAAGGCGCCTTGCCACTGACGAGCCAACGCCATCGTCGAGTTTTTTGAACTGTCGCTGTCCAATGCATGGCTGTGTGGATGGCCAAAAACTCCCTTTGTCCATCCCTCGGGAGCAAAGAAGGATGCCAGTGATGTACAAGTTACATGAGCCTTGGCAACTGTGCAACATATATTGGGAAGCTTAGGACTTATAGGATTTAAGATTCTATTTTGTTCCAAGTTGGGCATGTGAGTGAGAGCAAGACCATCCCGCACTTGGCTTGCATTTGGCTGCGGAACTCAGTGCAGGCTGGGCTCCGGGCTCCTGGTTCCAGGAGAACCGGCGTCAATTCGTAATCGATGATCGACTGACAAAGGTCCCGGTGCAGAAAAAGGAGACACGCAGCGAACCGTCGGAGTCCTAGTTTCCAGTTGCGGATGACCGGAGGGATGTGTTCGGAGTTGTAATAATAAAGCAAACAACATATATAATATATACTATATACTATAGTATATTTATTTATGAGTGTGTTGTCTTCAAATTGATGCTCAACTCGTGGAGGAGTTTCCCCACCATTTAGCTAAATTAGGCTCCTGCCCGCCAGGCCAGTGTGGAATGTTCTTGGAACCCTTGGTACAGGCGATGGCATCTCAGGGCGCTCTTCCGAAATCCACATCCAGATTAGTTTGGATGATGAGTTGCTGAGGACGGATTGGTATATATACTGTATATATCTATATATATTTATAGTTATTTATGTTATATATGTAGTATAGTAGTATACAACATAATATCACATACATATAGACATTATTAAATAGACATTATGCATGGCTGATGGGCCTGGCAGTGATGCAACCCTGAAAACTGACAAGCCTGAAGATGGATCAAAAGCTCCAACTCGGATGACACCGTCCCGGCACAAAACGGCACAAAAACGGCACAACCGGCGCTCACGGCTGTACCGCATGTACCGTGGTTTCAGCATGGCACTCCCGTGCAGAAACGGCACTGGTTTCAGAGGTTCAGCAGGCACCGGACCCCCGACGATGTGCTGCAAAGATGGGTGTCCTCTGCATGTATCGATAGATCGCAGCTTGAGTAAACCTATATTTTTTGGGAACATGAGCGCTTGAGTTGGTGGGTTCACTCACACTCGAAAGCGCTCCTACCTTAGCCTCATGAGGAAGAATCTAGACTCCATCGGATCCTCCTGGTGCTTTGGATCAAGTCTTTGTCCGCAGAGGATCAACAGGGCCAAGTCAATAGAGTTTTGGCGGGTGCGCGCGGGGCCGGTCAGGCCTGCGAGAGCGAGTTGTTATGCCGGACTGACAGTGGGGAGTTGCGGAGTTCGTCCGTTCTTTGCCACTGATTTGCCAATACCTTTCTATCCACCGCACTTGTCAGCACTGTCATGTTTCTGGTAAAGGTCGCTCGGTGTTGCTTGCTTTGGTCGACCTATCGTGAAGGAACGAAAGGTCGCCGTTTGAAGCTCCATTGATGCAATTCATCCATTCATTTTACCGGGATCCCTTTTGCAATCAGCTTCATTAAACCAAAACACAAAAATGCAAGCCTCTAGCCATCTCTAGCCAGTATGTTCAATCATAGCTCATGAGTTGGACCGGTTGGACCCTCCAACACAGGTTTGTTGACAGCAACTGGGCTTTCCGAACCGTGACTTGTATACCAAGAAGCACCAAAAAGTGGAATCCTGCAGGATTGCGCGGGGCTTGGTACTTTTGACAGCAGCCATCATGACAGGGTGTGGCAAATAGGAGGACTTTGCAATTGCAGTCATGGCATTTTCTCGAGGGTATTTGATCGATGGCGGGTTGAGTTCCGTGCTTGTAAGCACTTCACAGATCAAACAGATCTGCTCAAGAAGCTGCTTTTCCAGGACCCAGTGGTGGCATCAATGCGGTGCATCCACTTGGGTCCTTTGAGCTCCATGATCGACTGGGTTTCGAGTGTTACCGGCATTTACCGGCCTCTTCCAGGCATGACGGGTGTGTCGATCAGAACCGCAGCGCAGGCGTGGGAGGTCGTTAAATCGATTTTGAAGGTATGTTGGGAGCGAGACATGCATAAATAGGCCTCGGAATAGAAGGCTAAATATGGCTAAACTGTTTATCTGAATCCAGGGCAGGCCTCGGAATTGATTCGGAATAGGCTAAACTGTTTATCTGAATCCAGCTCGGAATGGGCCGGGCTGGGCATGAGAGCAACTAGCTTGCCATGAGCCGTCTTAGCTTTCACAATCGGGGTCTACTTGCCACAAGTCCAGCCGCGCATTCTGACTATAGGCTTTTGCCCTTGTGGCTTTGGCAGCAGCCGGCCGAGGCGGGAGTGGAGAGGTTGAGGGCCTCTTTGCACTGTCGAACGTGTTGTAACAGTCACTTGAAGAGAATGAGAGTATCGGGATGAACCAGTCCTTTGGCTGAGGGTTGGCTGCCTCTGAAGAACTCTTCTGTTCCAAGCACTGAGTTTAGGGATGTTGCCGACTCCCTTTTTGCTTTTCTTCCAAAAAACCAGACATGCCATATTTGCATTGGAGTTTTGGGGGGTCAATGTCGGTACACATGACCCTTTGTGTCGTGTTTGGGACGATGCCTTCCGATGCCTTCAACGCTTCTTTGGTTTGATGGTCACAGTGGCCTGGGCTTTTCATAGGGAGATGGTCGGAGCGAACATCGAAACTGAATTAAAGCATGCAGGAATACCTCACGTTGTGTTCAATTAGACCAGGTGACCAGGTCTTTTTTTACTCACTGTTTCAGGGTGGCGGCTAACATTAATTTTCATGACCCACCTGTTCGCGTAGAAGAGATTTCCTTCCTTGAGCCTTGGGTTTTGCCTGATCTATGTTGATCTGGGTGAATGGATTCCGGCCACTGGTCACCAAGGCCTTTCACTTCGAGTCTTTGGCTATAGATCACCAAACAACCACGTCCTCGGTCCTCGGGCTTTCCACGGGTTCCGGAGGCTTTTTGCAGTTGGCGCCCCGAAACTCGTTGGTGCCGCGAGTTCCGGTGGGAGCACTAAGGGACAGTGAAGATGTGGGCCATGACAGTTTTTTTTTGAATACAAAATATGATGTTGTCTGTCAGGAGTATTAGTATATCAAGCTTCGAGATGAACAGAGTATAGTATCATAGTCATGTCGTGTCAATGCCCTGACAGCCTGAGTGCATTTTGGTCGATCTATGAATATGCTATTTTTTTTCTGTTAGTGAGGCTATGTGAGGCCTTGGATGCTGGAACATCGTTTACAGCCTTTTGGAAGCCACTATCTACTCACTATTTGGGTTTGCATGGGCTTGCGCACAACAATCAATGACGTCCAACCACTTACCATGTGGAGCAACTGCTTGTTGTTGGGCTCACCGCCGAGATATGTCCGTATGTTCAACGTTCAGAGGGGTTTCGTCGTTCGTTCAGTCCCCAGCAAGCTCGTCACTTGCCACAAAGACCATCCAAGCCCGACACGACAAATGGGACTGGATGGTCTAGGCCGCCCCATTGACTCCCCAAACCACCCGAATTGTAAGTCAATATGGCATAGATGGAGCGTTTGGGGGCGTCACATTCCCATCCCCCTAAAAGACCCGACACACCGAGGTTCGAGAACTTCCACAGGCGATGAGATCTGTTTGTGCTTGGCTAGAGATGGGTGGCCAATATGTGTGATAGAGATTTTGGCAAAACCGGGTAGTTATTTTTTTGAGAGATCATGTTTGGTGTTCAGGTCCAAATGTCTTTGTACCATGCATTATGACTTGGTGGTTCCGTGTGTGAAGGAATCAGCTTCAACTCTCGTTGAGTGATCCAAAGCTACAGGGCCTTTGATTTGTATGGACTGGATACAGAGCCTAGTTATAAATGGATCTCTACTGTTCCCAGACACGATCTGTCTAGGAGTGGCATAGCCAGACCGATTAGTTGGTGTTGTTGACGCGTGGCTGGCGTTTGGGTTTGGAGACCATAGCCAGACCGATCAGTTGGTGTCGAGTCC